GCGGCCACCGCCGCCATCTCGAGTGACCGCCGCCGCGAGAAGGAAAACATGGCCGACTTTATTGCAAAGAAGCGCGAAATGTTCCTCGTCCAGGTCGCGTCCAATCGACGGCGCGATCGATCGCTCATGGCCAACTAGATGTCGCTCGACACCAAGCGAGAAGAGATCCGGAAACTCGAGGAGAAGGCGCAGCTCAAAGAAGAGGCGCTCAAGAAGAGCGAGCTCATGCTCGAGGAAGACGCGGTGCGCTTCGACACGTTTCTGAAAGAGAACGACAAGAAAGCGCACGAAGCCATCAAGAAGGCCGAGAAGGAAACGAAAGCCAAGGCCGACCGCGTCCAGGAAATCAAAAAGCTCAACCAGCAGATCCAGCTCGTGCAAAGCGACATGTCCAAGCTCAAGGAGCAGCTCGACGACTGCCTGAAATACAAGGCGTTTCTCGACGAGCTCACGCCGCCCGAGTGGGAGGCCGAGCAAATGGAGCGGAAGAAAAAGCGGCAGCAAGATCGCCTTCGGAAGAAGAAGGCCAAGGCCATGGCCGAGTGGGAGGTGATTCGTGCGCGGGCGCTCGCCGAGCAAGAGGAGCGGGACCGCGCGGCCGAGCGGGTCGCCGAGAAGGACGGCAAGACCAAGAAAAAAGCCGACAAACCAAAGCCCGCGATCGCATCGAGCACGGTGCCGCCCATGCCCGCTATCGACGACATGGTGGCTACGAGCAGCGGCGAAGAGCTGCCCATGTACTTTCAAAACCCGCAGCAGCTGCTCGACATCTTTACGGCGCTCGAAGAGAGCAATTTGTTTCTAATTCAGAACAGCCAAGAGACCGAGCAGTCGCTCGAAGAGCTCAAGCAAAACTACCGCGAGACCAAGAAAAAGATGAACAAGAAGACGCAAGTGCTCAAACAAAACATTGACGAGCTCCGCGACCAAATCAACGGCGAGGACGAGAAAGCGAATCACCTCCGGCAGCGAGCGATGGCCGGCACGGGCGAGAATGTCCAAGAACGCATGCTTCAAGAGCTTCACGACAAGGTCCTCGAAGTGTACCAGCGCTGCGGGTTCGAAGCCGACTCGAACCCGAACACGCTCTTTATGCTCACGGACCTCGAGGCGCGGCTCGAGGATTTGCTCAGCGCCATCGAGCACATGCCCGAAGACTACGTGGTCAAAGCCGAAAAAGAAAAAGAAAAGGAGCGCCGCGAGCGCGTCCGTCAAGAGCGCATTGCGCAGCAGACCAAGATGTACGAAGAGCGCATGAAGAAATCCATGGAGCGCAGCATGCAAGCGCCCAAGAAGCGCAAGGGCCGCCAAGTCATGTGGCGGTCGCAACCGCAGCGCCAGATCAAGCAACAAGACAACGACAACCACGTCAACGACGACGACCAAGCCGACCAACAACACTTTCGGTGGTGAACTCTGTTTATATAACCTATTGTCCCCTCTCTTTTTCCGAGTCGTTCTACAGCCCTACTACCAAGGCAATCAACCTGACAGTTTATGACCTTGCTACGACAGTACTCTCCTCTTAAGCTAGCCAGCCAGCCACCGGAAAATCGATCTTGGCGGTCGTGGGCCACGGAATCCCCGTCGACCGCTTCTGGAGCCTGGTAGGCGTCACCATGTACTATAACACAAAAGTGTTTCTTAGTGATTTGACTCGAGTAGGTGGTGGAAGGGAAAATGCACTCGGCTTCTGTCGACGCGTCGGCGTTGCCGCCATCGTACTGGTACACAAGATGGCGGCACCAAGATGGCAAGGCGACGCTGGGCCGTCCACGCGCGCGTGTCACGAATTTGTCTCGTCGACTTGTCGCCCCAAATTAGCACTTGTGAAATGGCCCCAACGTTCCGCGACGACATTCGCAACGTCGGGGGGCGCGATCGCATCTATGACGAGAAGGTCAACCACCAGCTCAAGCTCATGAGCATCAACCCCGCGGCTGGTACACGCCTTATCCCTCCCATCATCGTCGTCGAGGCTAAAGCGGGCGATAGGCAGCACGACGACGCGACCACCGCTCTCACCCCTCGCGCGTCTCCGTGCGCCACGTGTGTCTTTAGATAGCGCAGTCTCAATGTCTACATA